ATAAATTCTTTGGTTACTCTCTCCCCCTCCACCCACCCGCCCTCCTCCATCCCTCTGACATTCATCAGTCTCATCTATGCTTCCATGTCATTGAATCTATTCTGTTCATCAGTTTATTAAGTTCTTTAGATTCCACGTATAAGCGAGATCACGTGATATTTGTCTTTCGCTGCCTGGCTTATTTCACTTAGCATAATATTCTCCAGGTCCATCCATACTGTCCCAAAGGGTACGAGATTCTTCTTCTTTATAGCTGCATAATATTCCATGGTGTAAATGTCCCACAGCTTTTTAATCCACTCATCTACTGATGGGCACTTGGGCTGTTTCCAGATCTTAGCTATTGTAAACTGTGCTGAGCACTTATTTCTTAAAAGCTTTAAAATCATTGGTCCAGTTCAAAACAAACCCACTCCTATCTCCATTGAATTTCTGACTGAAATTACATTAAACAAATAATCTATACATACATATAGGTAAAATATTTTATCTTCTTGTTTTCTTAGGAAAATGTTAAATTCGAATCCTGCTTTATATTATTCATGAAGACTCTGGTTTCTTCAATGCTTCCTAACCTGTGTTACCTGTTTTCTTTGGTATTTTACAGTTTTATGGCAACTGTCAGTATAATTTTTAAAAAATCTCATTTCTACTTCTAATTATTGTTATTATAGAGAAAAACTAGTGATTTCGACCCATATCACAGTCACTTTACCAAACTCTCCAATGCTAATGGAACATAAGTAGAATCTTGTGAACTTTCTATACAATTTTATAGTCTGCAAATAAAGATAGTCTTGTTTCTTAATTTCCAGTGTTTATACTAATTATTCTATTCTGGGGTCTTTTTTCATTAATTAAAACTTAAGAAATGTTGAATGAAGATAGTGCACCTCTGCTTGGTTTCAGATTTTATTAAAATGTTTCAGATTTAATTAAAATGACAGTCATCTATTTAATATGCTGTTGGTTTAGATGAGCGGTTTTTATTAAGTTTGGGAAATTACATTTTAATGCTTCTATTTGTAAGTATTATCTAATGTCCTTTAGGCATATATTGATGTAACTATACAGTTCCTTTAAATAGTTTATATAACAAATTACACTGAGATTAGAAAATGCTGCATTTTTGTTGTAAATCCTACTTCTTGGTGTATCAATCTTTTAATATTTTGAAGCACTCAGTCTGGACAGATTTATACAGCAATGATAGAACTATATCATACTTTTTAATGGCTATATAGTATTACATGGTGTAGCTCTACTAATTTAACCCTGATGATTTATGCCTATTTAGATTGCCTTTATTTACTCATTGTTATGATAAATATAACTGTAGAGTAGTATACCTCTAACAGGTGATTTCTAATGTCACCTGTACTTTCTTTGCTTCCTCCTTAGGGAAGAAAGTGGTGGAAAAGAAAAGGTTCATATATTCAACACTGTGATTTTCTGATATTCAGGTATCCTTTCTTATACAGAAAGGCAGTCCCCCCCCCCAGCCTCCACTTACCTAAAAAATTTTGAGTTGGCTTTCCACCGNTCTGATATTCAGGTATCCTTTCTTATACAGAAAGGCAGTCCCCCCCCAGCCTCCACTTACCTAAAAAATTTTGAGTTGGCTTTCCACCGTTTTTGAAAGCTCTATCTCTGCATCTGTTCTAATCTTATCCTTACTTCCATGCTCGTTTTTTGTGAATCCCAGGGATATGGCAGATTTTATCTTTCTCTGATGCATTAATGACTCTGACTCCAATTCTAATGTGTGGGATCCCTCCCCACACCAAACAATTCTTAGACACCAGCTAGGTGCCCTACAAGTCAACTCAATTCTGACACTACCCACTCAGAGAGCATCAAATTCCGTAAGTATTCAGTCCCATGAGGCTGTTCACCACACCCCAATTCACACCCTGTCACAAATCCAGGTTGTCACCCACGCTTCTGATTGATCAGCTAGAGATGAGAGTTCCAACAACCCTTCCTTGGATTTAATTAATTTGCTACTGCAGCTCACTCAGAGAAACATTTTACATACTAGATCACCCTTTTACTATAAAAGGATATAACTCAGGAACAGTCAGATGGAAGACATGCGGAGGGTAAGGCATGCGGAAAGGGCAAGAAGCTTCCACCACCATCTGGGTTGTGTTGCTCTCCCTGGACCTCCACATGTTCACCGACCTGGAAGCTCTCCTAACCTTGTCCTTTTGGGTTTTCATGGAGGCTGTTACACAGATAGGACCAATTCAATCATTGGCCATTGCTGACTGAACTGAATCTCCAGCCCCTCTCCCCTCCCCAGGTCTGGGGATGGGACTAAAAGCTCCAACTTTCTAACCATGTGGTCAGTTTCCCTGGTAACTAGTCCCCATGCTTGCATTACCCAGGGGCTTTCTAAAAAGTTGGCTCATTAACTAACAAAAGACACCTTTATTATTCTCACCACTTAGGAAATTCCAAGGGTTTTCGGAGTTGTGTGCCAGGAACAGGGGACAAAACCAAATACATATTTCTTATATTAACTTACAATACCACGTTCACCCCTTTAGCTTTCACAATACTAGACAGGCTAGGCTCTAAAAAATTTACAATTGCAATACTCTTTATATCCACTCTACAGTGCAGGTAATTCCCAAATTTGTGCAACAGAATCACTTGGGAAACTGGGGGGGGAGAGGGGGGGAGAGTGGAATTTGAGGCTGGGCGCCCCCAGAATGTGTATTAAAAACAACACACACAAAACTTAATGCCACTGAAGTTCTGATTCATTTTTCCCCTCTTGTTGGGACTGTGCCTCATCTTTATGAAATCTGTGGGAGAACCTTTGGAATACCCTCCCTCAGGTCCAGCCCTACCTGCAGGGATTCAGGTTGGGGCCAGTAGTGAGGGAAAGTTCCTGCCCTTGTAGGATTCTTGCAAGGGCTCCAATTGTGGCCACGGCAAAGGCCCTGGGTTCCTGCCAAAGAAACATGGGCAGAATTATATAAGGTGGTCTTCCTGCCTGGTTTTTATTTTTACTGTGCAGCATACAATAAAAAAGGAAAGAACTTTGAAGAGTAAAATCCCCACAGTGTGAACACCTGAACACCACCCACTTCATTTTTTTGTTTTCTCTCATTGTCCTTGTTGGACTATTTGGTAGCATTAGTATCTCATTTCCATTAAAGACTGAATAGACTTTCTTGAGTGAGCTTAGGAGCCTACCTCTCCTCTCCTTTATTAAGTCTACAGGAAAATGCATTACAAGTTCTAAACTGAGATTTTTGTAGCCCTTGAGGCTTACAAGACCTGGGTTTGAACTGGAGTCCATCATTTACTAGCTGGGCATGTTTTCAAACATCTTTGGGCTTCAACTTATCTCTAAAGCAAGAATAATATTTAAGAAATGCCTGAAACATAGTATACTCTTAGTGTTAATTCCATTGTTTCTTTCTAGTAGTATCTCTGTTTGTTAAATTTTTTCCTCTTATGGCTATTTTTTCTCTCTCCTAAGAATGGGCTGTTCTACCAAAGTTTCTTTCTTCCTTTCTTTTTTTGCTTAATTCCTTCACCTATTTCACCCAGCCCCCACACCCTCTCCCCTGACAGCTGTCAGTCTGTTCTCTGTATCTGTTTCTATTGTGTTCTAGATTCCACATATAAGTGGAATCATGTCTACCAAAGTTTCTATTCATTCAGCCATTCGAGATATAATTGGAAGTTGTTTTCTAAGGTGGGTTATTTGTTACTGAATATCTAAATTACTTCAAGTCTAGTCCAACTAAAGTGCTCCAACTTCACGTTGAAGTTTTATTTTTCTGAGCTGCATCAGTTATAAACACAGTGAAATCTTTACGTTATTATACACTACATTGGTCAGATTTCGATACTAATGAAAACCCAAATTACCTCTGCATTCTTGTGGGAGGTCGGCTTTCCTATTTTTCCTTTTACTATGAAGAGTGGGGACAGACGATTCAGAGGCAGCAGCCTAGCTTCTTTCCTACCTCGTAGTTAGGCATGTCTGCCCATTATACAGACATTTCCTAGCATCCCAAAGGTAGGGTGGCCATGTAATGTGCCATGGTAAATGGATGTGAGTCTATGCTCTTCCTGACATCATGGATTAATAATGGCCACAGAGTCCACTCTGCTTAAAACAGATGATGGAAAGGCAGACTCAGGCACAAGTCTTAACCTTAAGGGGCCTATTTTCCCATCTGTGAAATGGGAAATGCATCTACCTACCACGTGACTGAAATGGACACCTGGCATTAGCTATAGCAGCTTGGCTTATAGTAGGTGCTCAATAAAAATTTGTTAAAAGAATGTTAATGAATGGATGGGTTTACTAAAATGAAGGTAGAGTTTATAAGAGTGTGTGTATGTGTGCCTAAGCACGCACACATGTTGGTTGGGGTGTCTCATAGGTTGATAAAGGAATAAAATACTTAATGTAACAGATACATGATAAAAGAAAAAATCAGTTTTCTCATTAGAAGAGTCATTTAACAATGCATGCCATGCTGCACTTCATGCAAAGCAGATTCACTGAGATTGTGAAGAGCACCCATTTAACCAAACATCTGAATTGGAGATGATGGCCAATCACCCAGACTCTCAAAAATTATTGTTACAAAAGTGTTAGTACTGTAAGAATACTGATTTTTAAGTTTTTATTGGATTTCATGTAAGGCAAGTACCTTGCTGGAGCAGAACGCCTCACAGCTCACTTGCTGATATAAAGCATTCACTATTTTTATGAACAAGTTTAGAATAACAATGTGAATTTTATTACAAACAAAAATAAACCTAAAAACCTTTCTTTAAATATACAGTATGTACAAGGACTTCTGTATTACATCATTTTACATAAAATGCTCTAAATGATAGAAGTTGAACTTCCTACCACTTGAAGAGAGGAGTTGACTGCTGAAAACTATACACCTAGAGAAAGAAAGAAAAGTTTCAGAGGCATAAACTGTGATCTCTGGCTACAGGTAATAACTGAAACTAGAAACATAAAAGGAACTTGGAAGAGCTCTGGCCAGTGTGGCTCAGTTGGTTGAGCGTGGTCCCTTGTACCAAGAGGTTGCCAGTTTGGGCGCATGCCTGGGTTGTGGGCCTGATCCCTGGTAGGGGGTGTACAGGAGGCAGCCGATCCATGTTGTGCTCTTACATTGATGTTTCTTTTTCTCTTTTGCCCCCTCTCTAAAAATCAATAAACTATTCTTTAAAAAAAAAAAAAAGAAAAAAGAAACTTGGAAGAAAAAAAGATATTCAATACCCTAGAATACTTCAGCAAAAACAGTCAAACATTTGTAACAATGCTCAAACAAACCTCTTCAATATGCTATGTTGTTATAGGGTACATTTTTAAAAAATTTATTTATTTAAATTAAAAATTTTTTTTCAATTACAGTTTACAATCATTACTTTGTATTAGTTTTAGGTGTACAGCATAGTGGTTAGACAATCATGTGCTTTACAAAGTGCTCCCCCTGATATTCCCAGTAGCAAACTGGCACCATACATAGTTATTACAATATTACTGGCTATATTCCCCATGCTGTGCTTTACATCCCATGACTATTTTGTGACTAGCAATCTGTACTTCTCAATCTCTTCATCTTTTCACCCACTCCCCAAACTCCCCTCCTCTCTGGCAACCATTAATCTGTTCTCTGTATCTGAGTCTGTTTCTGTTTTATTTATATTGCTCTTTAGATTCCACATATAAGTGAAATCATATGGTATTTTTCTCTGACTTATTTCACTTAGCATAACACACTCTAGTTCCATCCCTGCTGTCACAAATGGTAAGATTTCGGGTTTTTTCTTCTTTAATCCTCATTCAAGGATATGTTTTTGTTGATTTGAGAAAGAGAGAGAGAGAGAGAGAAACATCAATGTGAGAGAGTAACATCAACCGATTGCCTCCCTTACGAGACCCAGCCCGCCTGACTGCTTCTCTTGCTGTTTTTAAGATTCGTTGACTTTCGGTATTTTAATTATCGTGTGTCCTGGTCAGGGTCTTTTTGGGTTCACCTTGTTTGGGACTCTCTGCACCTCCAGGACTTCTGTGGTTATTTCCTTTACCAGGTTAGGGAAGTTTTCTGTCATTTTTTCAAACAGGTTTTCAATTTCTTGCTCTTTCTCTTGTACCCCCAATGATATGAATGCTGGTACACTTGAAGTTGTCCCAAAGGCTCCTTACGTTATCCTCACTTTTTTTTAATAATTCTTTTTCCTTTTTGCTGTTCTGATTGGGTGTTTCCTGTTCCCTCATATTCCAAATTGCTGATTTGATTCTCGGCTTCATCTACTCTACTGCTGAATCCCTGTAAATTATTCTTCATTTCCGTTAGTGTATCCTTCATTTCTGACTGGTTCTTTTTTATGGTTCCAGGTTGTTTTTTATGCTGTTGAAGTTTAAGGTAAATATTCTGAACTAATTTTTATTTGGCTCAAAAAAGTATTTTTATCACCGAGGAGTACTTCCCTTTAAAGCTTTGTTTCTCTCCCTGGAGGCAAGAACAAAATGTAATTCTGGCTTGCTCAGGGACTGTTCGTGAATTTCTTAGACTGGGGGCTTTTAGCCACTTGTGTTTCTTATTTCCACCCAAAAAACAAGAATTAGAATAAAGGTAAAACCAGAATTTTAAAAAAATCTGGCTCCTGGTTAACATCTCTCTGAAGGTTTGATGGGTGAGGACACTGGTGAAGCTGACTGAGGATTTACATGATGACTGCAAACCTTTTCTCTGACCATCAAAGATAATCAGTCAAGACGTAAAAGGATGAGCTTGGCAATGCAACTACTTAAAACTCAAGCAAGGCTGAACTGCACCCAGTGCCCAGGAAGATTATGGCACTGAAGATCCCCAAGAACGTACTGCAAACAAACAAGCATGCCAAAGCCTTTTTTGCATTTGGCATCATACTTAAAACTACTATTTATTTCTATTTACCTATTCAGATATTTTTATGAAGTGACTGCATGTAATAGTAACAATAATAAAAATTTCCCCTTTAAGTATGGAATGTAGGGCAAAAACACGTTAATGACTAAGAAATAAAATCAAAATCTAGAATGCTGAATCCTAATGGAAAAGTCAAGCCTTGGTATCCATGCTTGGATAGCTCATGCTCTTCTCTGATAATCAAGTCTCTAAACACTGACGAGGTCCCTTTTAGAGAGTGACAGATGTATAAACAAGCAGCAACACTATGACTGAGTTAAGCTTTTCCTTAGTCTATAGTTATTTTCTGTGCAAATTTTATTTTACTATTAATATGTTGAAGCCCAATATTACTTTCAGCTAGGTAATCAAATTATTTGGAAATGATAACCCTCCTTTTGTTTAAACAAAGTGATGGTAGACATTTATTAGAAATTTAATAACAGATTTTGAAGAAGCTAAAAGTGACACAGTTTAGTACAAACTGTCCTTTACCTTTATTGCTTGTATACACAAAGGGTACATTATAAAACTCAGTGGGAGGAGGGAAAAATAAGGAAAGAAAAAGGTACCTGCTTTAGCATTTTTAAGAATAGTTTTGATTACTTCTTAGATCAACCTGCTTATCTGAAATAGAGCAAAACTACAATACAATCACGATATAATTCTAATAATCACATCAATTATGCTTTCATTTTAAATTTTTTCTTTAAAAAAACATTAATGCTATAAAAATGAGGTTGATGACATCCTTATTTAAAAGACACCTTGTACTGGTATCAAAATATGATTTATTTTAATACCAACAAAAAATAGATCTTATATAGCCTATTATTTCAATGAAGTTTTATTACTACTTTTATTTTCAAAGTTGGTAGCAAAGTTACTGTTAACAATATAAATTTTCTCTTATTATAAGTGTTGAAATTTCCTTAAAAGTGTTGAAAGGCAATAGGCATTCTAGGATGGGCTTGCATGGAAAATCAATTATTCCAATATTGATAAATAAGATACTTGATAAATTTATAATTACTTCTTTAATTTCCTTAATAACATTTCCTGTTTTTCCAGGTTTTTTTATGCATTTGGTATTGCAAAAGTATGTAAGTCCCAAGCCTTTTCGCTGGGGCAATTATTTCCATTTTCCATTATTTCTCTTTAGTTTGTCAAATATATAGTAAAACAATCCAATAATCATTGCAGGAGGGAATCATTAATTTAAGTTGAATAGTGTTCATTTACCTTTTAATTTCATATAAGAGATATCAGAGTCATAAGAGCTTCACAATTTCAACACACATACATGCCATCAAAGAATTAAAAATCTTTATACCTTATAAAAAGGGTTCCGCTAATGTTTCATAGTCAAATTTTAGCCTCATGAAATATGCTTTTATTAAATACAGCAGCCACCACTTACCTTTAAATATTTTATAGATGAATCTAAGTTCAGTACTGATCCAAGGATGCTGGCATCAAAGCCCTCACTTTGAACTACCCCTCACGGTTCGGCATTTCTAAAACGCACCAACAATTATTCTAGATTTATCATACCCTGTCTTTAATTTGGTATATATACCATCTTCTGGGGGAAAAAATTTATTCATTTTTTTGAGATGAGATACAAGAACAGCATCATTCTTGAGGTTCCACCTCAAAAAAAAAAAAAAAAAAAG